TTATAAATCAAGTGATTTCGGAGTATTAATGGGGTCGGAAGATCATGTGTCTGCGCCCTCGATTAGTGGTGATGCTGAGACTTTTCACGCTGAGGTGTAGCGCATCAATAATATATACAACCTCAAATCTTGTCTTCTCTTTTTTTTTTTTTTTTTTTTGCTCAAATATCTAACTGTATGTATACACATGCTCGAGAGTCAGGGAGCAAGTTGCCAAGCAAGATACCCACAAGTTGGCAAGCACGTCCCCAAGCATCTCATATCAGTCTATTTCTCAATATATTTTTTTTTTTTTCCATTTGCTTTTGTCTCTTTTATTTTCCTTACGTTGTTCATTGCATCGAGAGTCGGGGAGCAAGTTGCCGAACAAGATACCCACGAGTCAGCAAGAACGTCCCCAAGCATCCCATATCTATTTCCTTCACTTTATTCAAACATTTACTTTTCTCTTTCTCTTACTTCGTAATGCGTTAAGAGTCAGGAGGCAAGTTGCCAAGCAGATGCCTTTCTCTTTTCTTTACTTCTTCTCTTCTCTTTTTCTCTTCTTTTTTTTTTTTTGGGGGGGGGGGGAAAGGTCAGGGTGCTACGGTGGAAGAGCCAGAACAAAGTCGGGCAATGAAGGAAAGACAATCTAGCAACTTTTCTTTTTCCTCTTCTATTTTTTCTTTTCTTCTATTTTTATCTTTTATCTTTTCCTCTTTTTCCCCTTTGTCTTTCTTTTTTTTTTTTTTTTTTGGGCGGGTAGGGCGGGACCACAGCACGAAAGAGCCAGATCAAAGTCGGGCAGCGAAGGAAAAGGGCACTGCCGATCACCAATTTCCTTATTCACCTTTAAATAGCAATTTCTGTTTCACAAGTTGACCGGGATGATCCTCGCGATAATAACCTTAGCATGACTATCGTCATGCGTCAGGTCATTTTAGTGACTACGCTCCACTAATAATTTAGTATTTTTTCATATATGTTAGTTAATCGTAATGACTCAGTGCGTGCTCGCACATAGTATATATCAAACTAACTAATTACTATATTAATAACCCCAGACTATACCCATCCTTAAATAATTTCCCGTTCCTGGTTTTGCGTGACAGCGTCGCGCAGCTACCTTATAATAATTTTATGAAATTTAAAAATGTTTTAGAAAAAATTACAAATTTTGCGGGTGAAGTGACACAAATTCGAGGGATTAGCAAATACGTTAATGCTAATATTATTAAAGAAAATTTTTTGGAATTGACAAGTGACTATGATAAATGTATGGAAGATTTACATTTTACGTTCGTAATTGCTCAAGATGAACAAAAAAGATATGATCAGGAAAGTTTGGAATCAGATTTGGCAGAAATGAGCGAGGTATTTAATATTTTATTATATGATGTAAATCAATATTGTTAAATCAATATTATAATGAGTATGGTTTAAAATCATTCTAAATACTATGATTACGTAGTTTTTGAAACAAATTAGCGAAAACGGTCAAGGATCCTTAAATATTCTCCACCAGGAGGTATCAATCATCAAGAGCCAATTTTGTTTGAGAGTAAAGGAACCAACCGATACTGATACCCAGATTTCAGCACCAAGACTAGACCCAACATTATTGAAAGATATTGAACCCGAAATACCCCAATAAAATTAGATCATTCCGGCAACATTGCTGTTGTGAAAAAATTCTATACGAAAAATGCTATAGCTGTATCATGTGAAACGATAATCATTGATCAAAAAATTTTTCAATCACAGAAAAAGCAAGGATATTTAGCAATTTTAGGAAAATTAGGAGAATGTCCAAATATTCTTAAATTCTTTGGGGTTTCAACAATAAAAGATTCTTCAACATTGAGAGATATTGAAGTGTTGGTTTTTGAATGGGCTGATATGGGAAATCTAAAAGAGGTTTATGAAAATTTTGATATACCTTGGAAAACAAAAATAACTATAGCCATCGATATTTGTCGTGGTATCGCATTTTTAAATTCTATTGATATCTTTCATCATGATATTAGGTGTGAAAATGTTAAGGTGATAAATTTTCGTAGTTATGAATTTAATAAATTATTATATAATAAAGATAACTAATTATTTTTTTTATTCAATGCAAAATTATCACACTTTTGTAGATGACAAATCGTTTGGAACCAAAACTAGCAAATTTTCATTTTGCAAGAATGACAGCGGGAGTATCAACAAATCTTGGAGAAAGCGTTTTAAATATTATTCATTGGTTAGCGCCAGAAAAAATGGTTGAGCATATGTGCTTAAACGATAAGGCTAAGATACGTCCATATACACAACAATGTGAAATTTTCAGGTGCATATTCACAACATTTCCTATAACTTTTGGTTAAATTATTTATATATTTTTTTTCTACAGTTTTGGAATGATGCTATGGGAGTTATGTTTTGAAAAGGTTCCTTACAAAGATAAAGATATGGAGTATGTTACAAATCACGTTACAAAAGGTGGTAGGGAAAGAATTCCAGTTTGCTCCGGAAGCAAAGAAGAGAAAGAGATTTATTCTGAATTTACAAAAATCATTAGAATGGGTAAATTAAATAATAATTATAAAATTAAAATATTGTATATATTTTATTATGAAAACTAATAATGTGCTTAATTAAATTCCTTTAAAGCATGGGAGCATGATCCAGAAGAAAGGATTTCTATAGGCAAGCTTTATATAATGATTGCAAATATGCAAAACAAGCATGTTCCTCCCGAATACTTGCCTGATCTCTTACCCGATAAAATTTTGAAACTTGATGATAAAATGTCAGAAGAATTTGTAATGCCAGACGACGAAGTTCTTTATAATGGCGAAGACGACAATAATCAAATCGAGGAAATTCTGGAAGTTGATCAAGGAATTAAACTTCATGTAACAAGAAATCCAGCAAAAAGGAAAGAAGCTTGGAAATGTTTTGTGGCAAATGCAGCTAAAGGACATTCAAAAGCGATATTTTGGAAAGGATATTATCTATGGGAAGGATATTATACAGATGGAAGAAGAACACCGGAGAAAATCATGGAAGATCGAAATGAAGCACTTCATCTTTTTAAATCTGCGGCAGATTATGGTATCACAGAAGCACAAATACGTTATTCGTTTGCATTAAAGGAATTAAAGCAGATCAAATCGAATGATAAATACGAAGAATTCATGCATTACTTGAGGTTAGCAGCAGAAAATGGAAATCCAACGGCGATGTTTAATTTGTATGATATATACATAAACGGAAAGTTGAAAGAAAAGAAAGATGTGGTCACTGGTATAAGATATCTAAAACTTGCAGCATTGAATAAAAATGAGAAGGCGATCGCGTTGGCCAATCAAATGAAATTAAACATTTACGATTCGAATTAAAATTAGTTTTAACATGTATTATAATCAAGCGTACCGAATCATTGATTGTGGAGGCAATTAATTGCAATTATTTGATCTCAACTAGAAACATGATCATGTAGATGCTTCGTTACCAATAATAAATATGCTAAAGATAGTAGTTTGTTTGTTTTATTTTCGGGAAGAAAAGTTTCTCTTGAACCTTTTTATTTACTAATAAGTAATGTGCGGCTTATGCCGAAATTTGGGGTCTCTGTTTAAACATATAATAGCTGTTAAACTCCAAATATTCTCTTTATTAATAACACTACCCAAAACCTTAATCTAGATATGAAAAAAAGACCACAAAAAAGGCACAAAAATTGTTGTAATTTTATGCAATATTTCAGTATAAGCCAATTTCAGCATATGCTGCTACAAGTAACAATGCATATTACAATCGCCCATCTCTACTAAATTTTGATTTTTTGATTATATACTGTTTCTAGTATTACGTGATAAAGTTCCTATAACGAACTCTGGATATAACGGACTCAAACTTTGAAATTCTATAATCGTTCGGTATAAAAATGCCATGGATTCTTAAGAAAACAGAAATTTTCTATGCCGAAACTATTTTTCCAGAACCATTAATTCGTTAGACTGTGTTACGTTGGGGTAATCATCAAACTAATAAAATCAAACATTATTTAGGGTCACAATTAATGTTTATATTGAGGATTCTTTATCGGTTTTTTATTAGTTTCGGAAAATTAACTTTCACATATATTAATTTTGGAAATTTAACTTTTATATATTATTTAGTGAATAAATGATTAAACAAACGTTGCCTGTTTTGTATTATCTTGTTCACCTAATTTTCTTTTATGAATTGCTAACTCTTCATTCAACAGAGAAATTTGCATGAGATACAGTTTTGCTTTTTTGGTTTCAAGATTTATATTCACATGATATTTGAAGTTATATTTATTAAATAAACTCTCAACCTGCTGCTGATAAATAATGATATACACTTGACCCCCGTTAATATCAACCCATTTGGATTGTGCAATTATGTTGATATATGCGAGGTTTAATAATATCGGGATAGTTTTAATATACCGTGAGTCTATTTTGACTTAATAGGAGGTTGATATTAACGGGGTCAAGTGTAATAAATTTGACATTTGAGAAATTCATATAATAAAAAAAAAGTAATTTGTCAGAGTTAACATAACAAAAAAGCCATATAGGGTGTCATCTATTAAAACAGCCCATTTTTACAATTTTTTGAAAAATAAGTTTTTATTAGATTCATATAAATTTTGGCATGGTTAAAATTTTTCAATTATAAATGAAAACCGATTCGCATAATAAAAGATCAAGAAAATGTAAAGAAAAATTACATGAGGCTTCGTAGAGCCAACACATTACGAGATTACCCGATAGTCACCTGCTACCTTTAACCAATAAAAATCGTGAAATTTGATAATCCCGGATCAGTCTGAAAATCAAAACAAATAATTAAACTCAATTATCTCAAAATTGTTCAAATGTAAAAATGGGCTGTTTTAATAGATGAAACCCCATATTTCTATCCAAGTTTCTAAAGAATTTGTAGTTTCATCAAGACCAAGTATTAAATTAGTAAAAAAAATTTTCAAATCCATTATCATCAAAGATATTAGCATTTTATAGTTCTGTATCAAAAAATAAATAAATGTCATCTCTAACTCTATACAAAGTTTTCATCTATTTAACAACAGTATTAGATATTTTGTAAACTTACTAGGCAAATAAAAATTGACTATTCAATTTAAGAATTCATGATTTATAATCAAATTTAGTAAATAAATATAATTAACTTATAAATTTGCTTACTAAACTAGGTGCTTGAGTTGCTTAAAGAGAGTTTATTTAATTTATTAGATTCTGAATAAAATAGATTTTATATTAATTCATAATAATCAACTATTATTCTTTAATTTAAGTTGCAACATCATAAGATTAGTAAACATGTATGAATGATGATGTTTTTATATTGATTTTATAAATATTTGTTATTAATCATGTTTGTTACTAGTTAAAGTAATAATTGAAATAATATATCTTATATTTGTTTTGTAAAGTTATTTTTATTTGCATCAATTTAGTTTGCAAGACATGTTAACTTAGTTAACAGATATAATATAATTTATTACATGATATAAAATTAATAGTGTACTGTTTTTTTATTTAAAAAATTGTTCTAAGAATGCATGTTGTATATACAAGCCAAGAATATTGTGAGGCTAAGCAGGTGACTAAGGTTAGGAATATTAGGGTCTAAATATTTATTCATCATTTACTACTTATTTAGTATACAGTATCTATAGATTTCTTTAGTTGTCTATCTAAGGCTTAAAAGACTAGATATAGACTAATGCTTAGAGGAGAATAAGAAGAAAAGATTGAACTTGGATAAAACTTAGGCTAATTGTATAAAAATAAGCAAAGGGTAAGTTAAAGATATTATTTAAATTAGGGATAAGTTTATAAGGATTAGAGCTAGACTAAATACGTAAAAGCTATCTTTATGTATCTTAAGATTATAAAAGAGCTGTCTTTTTCCTTTTTAAATAAAGCTTCAGATTCAATGTCTTAGTAATAAAAGGGATTATAATAAGAATCAGATTTTCTATTGTTGTTATATGTTTTAGTATTATGTTTATTGATTGTTCCTGCCTATTAAACAGTTATAAAGATTGTAATACATTCATATATTAACATCCTAAACTGTTAATATATTAACAATCATCTTACATAATATTATACTGTTGTTCTCTTATAAATAATGATTCTTAATATTACATAATTATTAAACTTCTAATTACAAGAATGTAACTTGATTTTTTATCTAATTAATTACCTGTAGATATATTAAGTAACCTATTTTTAGATCAGTTATGTAATAGTATATGCTTAAGCTATTAAATGTATTGCTCAAGATTTTAACAATAAATTTACTGCAAACATCATAATATCTCCAAATGAAAATGAGTGTAAGGTTGATTAAAGTAGTAGAAATATTTCTAATAAACAATCTTAAAATTGTTTTCAAATATTAATACTTAGTGAAATCCTGAGTTAGAGAGTTAAAACTCTTTTTTGTGGCTATAATAATAATTACAGTAGTACAGAAAGATATATTTAATTAAATTAATTGATTTAAATTAAAAGAATACTGAAATTCTTGCAGTAAACATTTTGTGATTATATATATATATTATTTCGACACTTAATACAGATTAGTATAAGTAGTAGATAAGTA